TGATTATTGGTTATTATCTTTTATTTCCTTCTGAAATTTTTATTATGGTGTTACTCGGAGACTGAATTAAAAGCAGGCGCGGGCCATCGTGCTATGCAATTTTTAAACTGAGTTCTTAATTAAATTAAATCAAATTAATTAAGTAATGTTTAATAATAAATTTCAAAAACAAATGATATATTAGATAAAATAATTTTTACCCGCGTAGATTTAGCGCGCTGGCCACCTGCAATCACAGAACCAATAACATAATAACACAAATTTATATTCTTATGCTCTTTTGTAGCTTGTGTTTTAATATGTAAAAAATCCCACATACCGGCAGGGTCACACGCGTTCATCTCACAATCGCTGTTTTATCTTTACAGTGATAGCAAACTTTACTGAAGAGGCTACTCCTGTGGTAAGACTTGAAGCAGAGATGGCAGGATTAGCGACGGCCGTGAAAATCGAGTAGGGCCTACGATTTGGTACGGAGCGATACGGTACGGTACGGTACGGTGCGATATGCTACGGAGCAGTACGATACGATGCGCTACGGTGCGGTACGGTACGATACAATGCGATATGGTAGGATACGGCAAAACACAGATCCATTAGCTAAGGACATGTTCTCTGCCCGCCGCACACTGCGCACCAATGAAATAGGTGTTAACATAATATTATATATGTGTAAACGATGTACCAGGGATATATCGTCACGTAAGAAATCCGCATGAAGCTTCTGGCGGCCATTTCCGTAGAGCACGAATAGAATCGGGAGAACAGAAATGAATGCGCAGTGAACTTGATGTTGATTTTGCTACGCGGGGGCACGTGAGCTACGGAGGAACGATCTAGAGAGAGAGTTTAGTTAGTTTCCGAGCCACTGGGTTACTATAGCATAGTATATTAATGAATGAATAAACAAATATAAATAAATAAATATATATATATATATATATATATATAGAATTATAGATTGCCCGTCTGATTGGTCAGTATAGTGATCACATGCGCAGTAAATAGACGCTATAGCGCGGTTCACCCTGAATGGTTGTATGAGTCCAAAATGGTATCCTATGCTGAAAATACACTTGCAACTGAACACAAGGACTGTAGTTCTCCGGAAAGTTGCAAATGGCCCCTGTAGTTTTTTTTCATAACGCGCCCATTTGACTGTCACGAACGATTTATACATGCATAATCAGGACAAACACTGTTTTTATTCACTCCTGATATAATTGTTTAGTACGCTCAGATTTGTTATATATGTATGTAGACTGACACCGATATCGTTAAATCCAAATCAAGTTGGCAGCCACAGGAACTTTTGGAATCAGTTTAAAACACATGAGCCAAATAAACTGAACAACGTCAGCACTTTACATATATCAGCGTACCCTTTACCGAACACGTATGGCACGTTACATGCGATATAGCAATAATTAAGCTCCATTATTATCAAGAGCTTATAATACCTGTTGTTATAATACCTTTTTATTATGCATCATGCAACTAGTTTCTTAAACGCACCATTATTGCCGATAGCCATTCTTTCAGTGGCACGTACGCCAACGGTCTTGAATACAATCAAGCAATTAGTACAAGTAAATTAATAAATTAAAAAAAAAAAAAAAAGTTAAATAAATAAGTAAATTAATGTAGCGATTAATACAAGTAGATTAGCGGTATAGCGACTATTCAGCAGGCATGATGTTTCGTGATTATTATAGTTACTACGCTTTATCAGAGTAACTGTAATTAATGAGAAAAACGTATGTATTGGTGCGTATGAGGGGAGGGGCATTGATAACCGATTTTTACCAATGCAATTGTTCATAACCATATCTATTTATTTGACATTTATACTGTATGTAGGCCGACGTTGGCTGTATTGCAGAAAATCCGAACTATAAAGTGTACATTAAATATATAACAAGGATTATTATAGCGTACCGCCACGAGCCGGAATGTTAGTATGGTTTAAGTAAATATGGATATGATTGCTAAACATCCTGTTACTAAAACAGTGGCGCCTACGTACAGGTTGCTTGTAAGGATGTCGAACTCCTTTTATGTCACCCTCCCACACGCCCCCGCACCCTGCACCATCGCACAAACCCTTCCCCACACTCACCTAGCACATACCTTCCAATATCGCGCCATCCCCGACCGCACACCCTCCATATCACCTCACACCTTCCATCTCACCTCACACCCTACCGCACACCCTCCATATCACCTCACACCCTACCACACATCCTCCATATCACCTCACACCCTACAGCACCCCCTCAATATCACCTTACACCCTCCATCTCACCTCACACCCTACCGCACACCCTCCATCTCACCTCACACCCTACCGCACACCCTCCATCTCACCTCACACCCTACCACACACCCTCCATCTCACCTCACACCCTACCGCACACCCTCTATATCACCTCACACCCTACCGCACACCCTCCATCTCACCCCACACACACGTCCCCGCGATCAACACCTGTTCTACGGCTATAGCTAGTCCGTGTTGCTTCAATGCGAGGCAAGCTTCCGCCAATCTACCGACTGCGCACGCAAATACACTAAGAGTACATAATAGGAGCGCTCCTATTATGTACTCTTGAAATACACGCATCGTGCAGTATCGTGTTTACTTTACACAACCACCGTGAACCGGACAGCTGTCGCGCAGGCACTTGGGTCGTTTCAATAATAAAATGATAGTAAATAAACACGAAGTCCTAATGGTTATCTACTGTTTATAATATTATTATATGGCCTAATAATTTCATGTAAAGGCCGCTCAAATGCTATTTTGCATTACACAATCTCAACCGTGAGACCTGTGCACCTCGCTGCACCTGTGCACCTGTGCTGTTTACCTGTGCACTCGCAGAGAGCAAAAAATGACAGAAAGACATATAGATAGAACGAAAGATAGATATAAAGAAAGACATTGCTCTGTGTGTTTAATTTTTGTGTGCACAGTGGCGTGCGTGCGGCGAGATTGTGTGTTGCAGAGTAGCTTTTGAGTGTCATTTACGTGGAATATGTAGGCGATACAGGATACATAAATATGATTATATTGGTAGTGAATACAATTTGTGTTTATTTACTATCATTTTATTAGTCAAAGTGCCTGCTCGGTATCACGGTCGCGTCCCGCAGTGCAATCGGGAGTAAAACAAAACTCGTCCAAAACATGTCGTAAAACCAGAGGCTGTTACCGCTGCTACTTCTACTACTACTACTGGTACTGCTGCTGCTGCTGCTGCTTGCTGCATCCTGCTGTTGCTGCTATAACTGCTGCTACTGCTGCTATAGCTCCTCCCGTGTAGCCCCTTTCGCTACCGCTACAGGGTGGAAGTTGCATAAGCAAAGGGGTTTCACGGGCAGAGCTAGTGTAGTTGTTGTTGTTGTTGTTGTGGCTGCTCAGTGTTGTTGTTGTTGTTGTTGCTGCTGCTGCTGCTGCTGCTGCTATTACTGTTGCTATTACTGCTGTTTTTGTTGTTGTTGTTGTTTCTGCTGCTACTGCTGCTGCTGCTGTTGTTGTCGCTGTTGTTATTGTTGCCGCGGCTGTTGCTGCTGCTACTACTTCTGCTATTCCTGCTACCAGAGGTAAATAGCCGTAAAGAGAGATTATTTTATGATTATTTTGAAATTGTTTTAAATTAGTTCGAGATTATTTACCCCTGTTGCTACTACTAATTAATGCTGTTTGCCGAAGCTACCGTTCCCGTTGCTGCTGCACAAGTGGTGCCATCGAGTGTTCAATGCAGCTGATAACAATTTAGTCTTGCACCATTCGCGTGTAACAGATGTAAGGAAACCGTGGATCATGCATGCAATCAAGAGCTAATAATACATATTAGCAGAAGTATTATTAGCTATTGATGCAATATAGGCTATAATGCCTACATCGCTTTTTATACGAGAGATATCTATGCTATGGGCAGACATATTGGTTATTGTATTGAAGTTAGATTTAATATATTTAAGCGCAGTAGGACAGTAATGTGCCTTTATTTGTTGTGTATATGAAGGAACGTATCGCAGGAAATACTAGCCAATATTTCTGAGCATGTAAATAAAACGCATGCACACGTGCCAACGACCTAGCTAGTTTTCAGATTAAGCAATAAATTCATCAAGCTCTTGTTGATACAATAAACCCTTGTCTGTTTGTTTAATACTCTGTCATATATAGCGGACTGTTATTGAGTTAAACTTTACAATATATGCGTTCGAAGTATGATTTATTTCCTCTTCTTATACTGGTTAATTTATTATAGTCAGATGTTTAGCAGCGAATTGAAAAATGCCTGTGCGCCAACCACAGCCTCATTAGCATTTCGTGTAATAATAATAGAGAGTTGTATAAAAATAATTGACAGGAAATTTCGAACGTTGGAAGGTGTTTGCGTTGTAATGATACTTTGTCTGCGTGTCTTTGTAATGATACTTTGTCTCGTGTGTAACACGCAATCACCAACTCCAAACGCGTACTTTCCGCTTGCCGAGACAAGCAGCATCATCTCATTGCGTTTACATGGTCAACAGCTGTTTTTCAGCTACATTGGGACAAGATTAGTAACTGGAAACGAACTGCCGCCACTTAAAAACACACAACGAAAATCGGGGAACATCATAAAAAGCATATTTGCAGATGTCACACTAGATATTTATAATGTCACCACGTCGCAGTCCACGTCGCAGTCCTAAAATCGCTCGTGTGCCCCTAGCATAAGTGTAAGGAGCTTAGTGTGCTATGTAATAAATTACAAGGTGCCAGTGAATACAATAAAATATGTATAATACGATACGAATACAATAACATGCCAACTTGTATTAACACGCTTACGTGATATACACACGTCACATACCTACTTACTTACATTTGCATGGCGCAGGTATATGTTAATGCATTTTTCAATCATGCGTGAAAAATCATTGTTGAATAAGAAGCGACTGACTTTCATGCGACCGAAACAGCAACGAATGTACACAAATGACGGTGGTAAACGCCACCTGTCATATACGCGCACGCAACAATCACAGCTACACGTCTTATGTTCTAACGTGCAAATTAAGATATGTGATATATGTCCTAAGCTTGTCGTCCTGACTCGTCCAGCAAACATTCACAACACCAGAGGTGAATTATGACATAATTTGTCATTATTCACCCCTGATAACACGTCACGCTGACGTAAATACATTATGTGCTAGTACTGGGCTCGGTTACTTCTATTAAACAATCCATTTACACAACATCTGAATATAATATAAGGATTTCCTATAGGATTTCCTAAGGAATATAATAATAAGGATTTCCACTTAGCTGTCTTCGTGCTAACAAATATCAGTTTTTCGGTTCGAAAAATCTAAAAGTTTGCTATAAAATGCGTAGCTCTCAGCTGTGAGTATCAGTTACCGACTTAAACTGAAAAAAAAGCTAGAGCAATACGTTAACAAGATAGAGGCCACAATCGCTAGCATGATGAACATATCTATAGTTTATATAGACGTACTTCATGCTAGCAGCTAGTGTCGTGTATAGGCCGGGTCGCGATGCTGGTGGAAAGATAACGAAACCTGTAACGGCCAATCTGCCTTTAATGCGGATGCGCTACCTTTAATTTGCTGATTGTTCTTTTGTTTAGGATGCGCAGCGCGCGCAGGGCCTTTGTCATTGTGAGTTGTAAGCAGAGAAGCTTCTTGCGAAGCGTCCTGTATTTTCGCAGATATTTTGTCTTAACAAGAGCTTAGAGGACATATGGATCGGTATGTTGATAGAGTAGAGTGTATAGAGCAAAGTGACGTTAGTCTTGTAAGATGACTGTGCAATACTGAGTAATTCGGGGCATTTTTGTACTCAAGAAGTTGGCCTTCTTGTGATGGCCTTCGTGGATTCAGCGTGGGAGTTTCTGTGCTTTGTTATGTAAATGACGATGTTATTAGAATCCTTACATCTGCTATTTGTAAAGCAGTGCTGATTAGTCTTTATATAAGGTTGTTGTTACTCTGAGCGTGTAAGATTACTTGTGTACTTTTAAACCGCGGGGGCAGTGGTGGTATTTTAGTGTGCCTTTCTTAGCATAGGTGGCAGCACCTGGTGGGGAAAGGACTACAACATAAGATTATCATTTATAGTGGTTATTCGTGAATGTGTGTCTTATATGTGAATTTATGGTTTTGCAGTAAATCTAACTAAGTCTACTGGCTGCTTCGATGTTGGTATTTTCGACCTGTGTTAAGAGGACGACATTTCGGCATCTGTGAGATTACATCATTTACGATCCTGCCGTTAGGAAGATCAGGAGCTTACGTTTATGGAGGATAAGCTTCGAAGGAGTGGAAGAGTAAGGCGACTCACTATGGAAGGTCAGGAGTACGAGATGGAACGGTGCTCAAAGCGTTTGAACGCCGCTGTCACGAAGGTGAACTTGTTGCTGGAGAGTATTACCATCAGTATCAGCAATGGTACTAAGGATGTGGGCAGTGTTCGAAGGGAATATGGAACTTGGCTGAAGGCCTATGAGCAGTCGCTCGTTGTGCAAGAGGAGTACCAAGCCCACATGGACGGAGACGGTAAGGTCAGGGAAGATGAGAACTCTGGTGAGGCCAATGAGCAGTACCGTAAGTTCAAGGCCAAGGTAGAAAGGTGGTTGTTAGATAATGAAAAGCAGGAGCCTATGGGCTTGGACTCTGATCAGGATGAGCATCATGTTAGTGCCTCACAATCTGGCAGTAGGGGTTCAGGTAGTAGCGGAGGTAGCTCTAGGCTGAGCGAGATGATGGTTAAGGCCGAACAGGAAAAGGCAGAAATTATGGCGAAAACGGCGGCCTTGAAAGAAAGGCGTGAAATGGAACAGGCTAAGGTGGACTTAACAATGAAAGAAGAGGAGCTTGAGCTTAAGGTTCAGTTGGCTGTGGCGGAGGCAAAGGCAAAGGTTTTGGAGAACTTTGGTTCAGCTGCGTCGCATTACTCACGAGTCTCTAGTAGGTCACGTAGGAGTCTGACCCAAAAACCGAAACTGGCGGAACTTGATAAACACGCGAAACCCGAGACCGCCGCCAATGTCACAGACGCGTCGGCCACGTCAATCGCAGAAGTGGCTAGGGAACTGAAGAAACCGCAGGCTGAGATTCGAAAATTTAGTGGGAGTCCTTTAGATTACCGGAAATTCTTGAGGCAATTCAACTCGAGAATTACCGCATACACGGATAACGACGATGAACGCCTGTGTTTCTTGGAACAGTACACTACAGACGAGGCACGCAGAATTGTTCAGGGTTATTCGCATCTAGCTGGATCCGTTGGTTATAAGGCAGCACTACAGGAGCTGGAGACACGCTACGGTGACCCTGAGGTGATAGGCTCTGCCTATGTGCAGAAGGTACTGCGCTGGCCAAGCATCAAGCCTGACAATCCTAAGGCATTGGACGAATACGGTATTATACTGATTGAATGCATCCACAGAAACACACAGGCAACATACGCACGCACGCTCGCCCACACACGCAGTCATTCACACACACGCACGCACGTACACACGCACACGCACACGCACACGCACACGCACACGCACACGCACACACAAACACACAAACACACGCACACATACGTATTCATGTACGTACACTGCATTGGTGCATTTCGAGCACTGGCACACAAGCTGATTGATGCACTCGCTCGACTAAATTTGATGAGTATCATCATTTTAACAATTTAATAGTGATTCGAATTTATTAGCTGTTCGTTACTTCCAACATAGATAAATATTACGTACTTAATAATGCTGATGACAGTGATGACCTAACCCTTCCCATAAGGCAGGTCAGGTCATTTCCTGACTGCCAAGTCACTTGCTTACCTGCGACTGTTGTCAGAAAAGATGATCATCAAGAAATCATAGATGAAACTATCGTAAGGCTAAACTTTTGTGTACAGATTTCTTAACATTTGAACGACAATTCATTCAAAAGTTACGAGATTTTAGACTTATGCCGTAACCATCTACGATGTTTCTGACAACCGGCCTCTGACCACTGAAACATCTGGTCTACTGAGTGTAAAATCATGGCATTGGCTGACTCACAAATCACCTACTTAACTTATCACAAAGATATCTGATTTAGTAACCAGCAAGTAACCTGCCTTCGTTGACCACTAGCTAACCTGCTATTTCTAGGTTACAATGTCAGCTGCTCTAAAGATCACAAAGTCATTTGCTTTATATAATATTACATTGTCTGCTTGACAAATGAAGATAGCTACTCGCTGACTGCCAACCAAATCATTTTCTTTTTTAGCCAAAGAATACCGCTTTTACGGACTGCCGACATTTTACTTTTTTTAAATTTACTGCCAGCCAAATCATTTTCTTTTTTTGCCAAAGAATACCTTTCTTACTGACTGCTGACAAATGGCCCTTAAAATAACCTCTTCTACGTGAGTGATACACTGCTACGGTATAACTTCGACTGACACCCACATCGCTTGCTTTACTGACCACCACCATTAATGACGCTAGCTGGCAATTATGTCATTATTTTATGAACCACTAAGCCATACAATCTACAGACTGGCACATCATGCCATTGCCTGACAGCCACATCATCTGCTGCACTGTCTGCCAATAATAAAGACTGATAACCAACAGCTAAAGACTGTGTTTCGTTACTGTCCCACATCATGCCATTGACTGACAGCTATGTAATCTGAGTTAACAAGGCCCTCTGATTCATTAGGCGTCAAGTCATGTCATTGACCGATCGCCATCTCGTGCTTCACCAACTGCCAAGAGTAAATAAAGTCACCATGGCTAGTACATATAGATAATATATAGAAAAAAAAAATATATATATATATATATATATTATGCAATACTATATATACTAGCTGAGGGCTACATCCATTGCATCCACCGTGCTGGAGTCTGGTGAGCCGGCCTAGCTCTGCACAGGGGCGGATCCAGAGGGTTTGGTTGACCAGTTTCCATATGTTCTTCTGGAGCTAGGGGGGTCCGGGGGCATGCCCCCCCGGGAATTAAAAAAAAATTAGGCTATATTTGGTGCATTCTGGTTAATTTTGAGGCCTGTGACCAGTTTCTGGAAACCGGTGCAAACTGGCCTAAATCCGTGCCTGCTGCATGTGGCCCAGCATCTCACTAAGACAGGTAGGTGCGCACGCACGTGCGTATCGGCTTGCGGCACATCGGACAGGCAGTGAGGGCTGGCGCGCACTGCACGCACGCGATGAGGTGTCCACACGGCAGGAACGTGATGCTCACCTCACTGTCCATGCAGATCTTGCACAGCCGCTGCTCCTTCAGCATGCGATTCTCCTCCTTGACACTGAGAGCTACAAGCAGCGAACACAACCCGGTCAGTACAGCCCACACGCTGCCTGCTGTTCAGTTCCCAGAAGTGGGTATCGTTGTTGGTATTAGGATTATTTTTGTCCAGTAATCATTATTTTATTGTTGATCTTCTCGAAATTTAGTATTATTATTAAAATAATATCACTACCAGTACTATTATCATCATTATGATCATCACCCTCCGCATCATCATCATTTTCGTCATGATCCCCATAACTACGATCATTGTGATTATTGTCATTGTTGCCATTCTAAATAACACAAAATAAACACTGCCGTACTCTCAAGGCCCCGCAGAAAAGGTGTATGCGGGAGACCATGATCTACACCTGCAGATGGCGCTCATACACGCGCCGTGATAACTTACGCTCAAGCTTCTGACACTTGGGAACGAGAGGCGGCAGGGCGCACTCGCTCGGATCCCAACCGGTGGCGTTCGCCGGCGCGGCCGCAACACCGCCCAGCCTCTGCTCCTTCATCAGGATCGCGCCACGCTTCTCCTCAAAGTCTATGATGGCGGCAAGCAGGTGCTCCGGGTAAATTGTCCTGTCGCCGTTCTCCAGCCGCCGCCGCACCGCCATCTGGTGGTAGGGAAAATGCATGAGGAGTGCGTGAGATCGCAACGCTGACTGTTGCTACTAATGACACTACCTGACGGTCAAACGTGTGTCAGCGGCCATCTTTATTGGGTGGTCATCTGTTTATAGAGGTCACTTTTGGCATTTCCATTGAGCAGCAGTTATTAAAAGGTTAACCCACTTTCATAGAATGATAACGCAAAAACCCACAAAGGCCACAAAGGCCACTTCTTCTTTAAGTGGTCTTTTTATCCAGGTTGAATGTGTACACAGTGGGACTACATGGGAAACATCGCAGAATTTAACAAAAAATAACCACTTGCCATGTCAAAGCAATTAGAAACAAGTGCCGCACGTTAGCAACTGTAATCGTTAGGCGCGGTCGCGGTTAACGCAATTATAACGCGTACGAACGAATGTATTTACGAAAATGGATTTACGAAACGGTAGTTTGAGCATAGGTTAGTCTAGAACAATAGGAAATCGTCGCACTTACGTGAACATGGCGAAGTCGAACCGCTCCGGGCGACGGCGTATATAGTAGTTTGCCTACGTCTCGTTGCAAAGAGGTGACGTTGACCGCGGTACAACTCGTGCGTAGAGAGAAAAACAGATATTAGAACCGATACGATACTAGATACTAAATGCTACACCGATACGAGGAACGTGGCAATCTACGCACGTACTGCTACTACCCCAAACTAAACCGCTGGTCACTTGCACCAATCTAAGCAAGTGATTCTGTTCCCCGCTCCGCAGGCTCTACGATTTAGTAGGTGCGCTAGTGGCACCCGTTTCTTATAGGGGTAGTAACAGGTTGCGTCGATATAGAGTCCACGATAGATAACACAGATAGATAACACGAACACGGTATTAGAAAGCTACTCTTCGTTCGTTCTATTATACCACAGACTACTTTAACATCTAAACAAACGCAACTCACGATACTACACAGATGATAACGCACACACGGAGTACCGTATATCAGTAATTTCGTACCGTAAGACGTGGATCGCGAAGTAGCTCGGCAGGGGTGAAGGTGGACAGTTGAAGGTAGGAGGGGAAGATGGCAAGGAAAAGTATAGAAGGAATAGGATCAGAAGCGGGGGAAAAACTGGACCGTGTTGCGGAAGGGATGAGAGCCGAGTTCGCTTGTCACTGCGCATTTGCTGTCAACAAGCCCATAAAGTTATCTAGGCTAATTGGGCCGAGCACCGCGCGGCGAGGCTGAATCAGACCCCCGGGAAATTAGCAAAGTGCGCGCTACGTATGGGGAAGCCAGGTGTAGAGAAGCCGCGGGTGGAGACGCCAGGTGTAGAGAAGCTGCGCTTTCTTACACCTGCCGCTTCCCTACACGGTTGCAAACCGCCATTTTTCATTGTCAGCGCTAGCGCGGTTTGCAACCGCGTGCAACCTGCCCACCCCTCCACTTGGAAATACATTGTAGCGAAAAATGGCAGTTACAATTAAGTTGGTAAACAATCTTCGTCGAAGAGTAATATAGCAAGTACAACATTTAAGCGTTAGTTTGCGGTTTAATTTTAGTGTTTGTAGTAACTTAAGACACTTGTGCGACAGAGAATGTGCTTTATTTGGCATACCGAAGAAGTATTATTAACTGCAAAAAAATTGTCTTTGCTTACTCCCTGGAAATTGCCATAGTATGTTATATAGCCCTGCGGCGGAGCGGAGGGCTATAGTTCTAGAGCTACATGCGTTCATCCACACTCAGGCATGCACGCACGCAATCAGGCATGCACACATGCGCGTAATAGAATGTAGATGCTGTCAGTCTTTTGCTTTTTCTAGCAATCTCTGCATTTCTGATGTCATAATAGGTGTCACTAGGCGTTGCTACTAAATTATAGCATTGAGGATGTCATTGAGTAATGTCATTAAGTGATGTCATCCTGTACTGTCAACAGTCACAGTTATTATCTAATAACCATCAAGTAACTGAGTGTACTTACCAAAATCCAATGACTTCTTGCTCCACATAATAAACTGTATAAAAATACTGTGCACACTGTTTTTTAGCTCAACTGACATAGTCAAATGCAGCTTGTAGAATCGCATGATCGTCCGTCCGTCCGTCCGTCCGTGCGAGCGTCGTCGTCGTCAACAGTTGGGCACAAATCTAAACGGCTCGACGTACGGTCACGATATTCGGGACGTGAGGGGTAATCGAAAACGAGTTGGGATGTCGAAGCTGGGGTCAAAGGTAAAGTCAAGAGGTGTAAAAGAGGGGGGAACATTCACTCCTTAACTTAAGGTATAGGAGGAAATGCAGAATTGCGGCACAAATCTAAACGGCTCGACCTAGGCTCGTGATAGTTGGTTATAGCATCATGGTAGAAAAGCCATCACTGTGCCGAAATTGGAGGTCACAGGTCAAAGGTCAATGGCACAGGGCAGATTTTAGACATTTTCTGAGGAACATGGTCTGACGGAGCGATGAAAAACTTTTTTGTTTCAGCGTGACCTAGCATTTTTATGCATTATTGAAAGGGACCATGAAATCTACTTTCTGCCTGACAGCTGAAGAGTAAGTGTTAGATAACCTTTTGACCTCAAGAGGAGCGTTAAACATGGATTTGTTGACTGTCTGTTAGAAAGAATTTGACTGCCGGGTTTGCTAGTAATCTATACATGCCTGGATGTATGAGGCTACAATGCACGACTCACAGTGAAATTTCAAAAGCTAAATTTGGTTAAAGAAGGTTTATGCTCCTTAAATCGTATAATTTCTATGGCATTCTGTACTGTCAGTATGTTACATGTAACGTATGCCACTGCCAGTGCATTGTGTTGGTGGTACTGTGTAGTTTTGCCTGCGTTAATTTGGTACAGGTGGCAGCTCTCTATTGCAGCCTGTAGGCTTGCATAGGTAAATGGATGAGTGCTTACCTATTCTGTCTTGCCAAATAGTTGTTGCTACTACGTTCGATGGGAGCTTCCATCTTTAATCTGAAGACACTTAAACGTACCGCGCATCTCGTGGCAACTTTCATAACGATCCCAACGAACATTCCTTGAGAAGGTTCCTGATACCATCCCTGTGCATTTCACTGTTTCGGCGTGTATGTGAACACATTTGGGACTAACAGGGTTTACTAGAATCCCACACTCCACCACAGAGTCACCGCAGTAGACGTTAGATGAGCGCTGTCGCTCCNCACCGCACACTAAGCTATAAACCCTCCCTCTACCCACACTAAGCTATGAACCCTCCCTCTACCCACAACGTGTACTAAGCCGTGAACACTCCCTCTACCCACAACGTGTACTAAGCCATGAACCCACCGTCTACCCACAACGTGTACTGAGCCATGAACCCACCGTCTACCCACAACGTGTACTGAGCCATGAACCCACCGTCTACCCACACCGCACACTAAGCTATGAACCCTCCCTCTACCCACACTAAGCTATGAACCCTCCCTCTACCCACACTAAGCTATGAACCCTCCCTCTACCCACACTAAGCTATGAACCCTCCCTCTACCCACACTA